GGCGCAAGCCCGGGACGTTGTATTGGTCCAGAAGCCGGTGCAGAAGGATCAGGTCCTGGAGACAACACATGAAATGTGGTACTAAAAAGTATTGGGCTCTTTTAATATTAAGTAAAAAAAATGTGTTAGCATTATCACAGACCAGCTGCTTAGTTATTGAAGTCTATCAATATTATAAACATAGTTTAGCAAACACATTTGTTAATAAGTATTAAAGATATAAAATTGCAATTTCTGTTCATTAAGTTAAAAATGAAAACTTCAAGAAGCGAGCCTATCATTTCCTCAAAGGCCGGCAACACATCTGTAGTTCCTCTGGTGTTGCGGATGTCCATGGGCGTCGCTGACCACCTCGGTGTTCTCGCTGCTCGTTTGCCCCCCTTTATTATAAAAAAAATACTTAGATACAAACCTTTCCCTTCTCTGATCTCCTTAACTTTGTGCTGATAATATGCATGGTAAGGGTCCCCTGAGTTCAGAAAGTTAAACTTGGGATTTCCAAGTTCATTCTGCCGGATTCGAGCTTCAAACTCTGGCCCATTACGTGCAACAAAACTGGCAGTCTTGTCAACAATATCTAAGCATTATGTTAAAGAAATTCTTGAACAAGAGATGTATAAAAATAATTAACATGTAATATAATTAAAAACTTATAAACTTGCCTTGCGTTTGTTTTTAGAGTCCATAGGTAATGTATAACTACGCATTTACATTCACTGAAAGAAAGGTAAAAAGTTCAACTTTTTATATTAAGTTATGGCTGATCAATCTCAAACTAGTAAACAATATATTGAAATACACTTTAAAACATTGATAGGAACTCTTGTAGCATATTTAACGCACACAAGCTTTGCTATCATAACATCGTAAAGGTTATGTTATTCTTACGCTGTAAAAATTAATTATATTTGTAAAAGGATACTCCTTACTTCAGGGGGCGGATAAATAATACCAATTACAGGCAGCGTAGGTGCCTGTGGCTCTTCTGGTGTTACTTCTGGCGGTTGCCCTGGCGGCACCATTACGTCTATAGACGGCATCACGCCGTATGATCTTGTTTGTTAGATCTTTTAATCTACACTTTCAACTCTTTAATCTTTTTTTACATTAATTTGATCTTGGATAACACTAATTTTATTACGTAGAAACCATTGTCGACAAATAAAATTACAAAATTTCACAAACAAATGGCATTTGGCAAATAGTCAAAGATTATAGAGTATAGACTAAAAATTAATAAAGTGTAAAAATCATAGATAGATAGATCAAAAGGTGCCACAGACTATATAATTGTTAAATTATTGGACAGCAGCCAGAATTCTTTACCTTTAGCCATATAATACGACTTCAAAGGGTCAAAAGGATTAAGGGTCAGATAAATAAAGATTTAGATCAAACATTTATTAAAACATATAAAACGATTAAACCATATTTGCAGAGATTACAAATTTAAATTCATTTTGACTTATTATGCTTATATTGTTTATATTTCTATTTTACTTATATCAAATACTTTTATGATAAAGTCAAAAAATAGTCTATGAAATATGATGCGTAGAAATACAAACACATAAAAAAGCACATACTACAGGGTAATTTCAAAACCTCTATATAGCTTAAGAAAATAAGATTTTGATAAATTTTAATAAATAACAAGTATTCTGTACCTAATTTTTAACTAGTCTTGTATAACTTATTTTGTCTATTTACAATTATATGTACCGATGTACCGAAACCATTCAATATAAAACTAGGTATCAATATTGTCAGAAAAAGATACAGAAACACATCTTTTGTCATTATTTGAGATGTTAGAGACGATTATTTACACTGGCAATAAACACATATAAAACTACACTTATATCAAACATTGTCACTTAACACTTTCCATTCCAATGTTCCAGTGTACTTACCACTCGGCTCTGAACATGTACCAGTTCAGTATATCCACATAACATCTGGATCAACTTCCTGTTAGTAGGTGAATATGATGGATCGTATCAACCCATCTCGGACTGAATCACTGCTCTGGCCCACACCAAAGTTGAAGAAGACAGAATCAGTAGCCACTTGCTGTGCACACCGGCCCATCGGGTACCAGCCCACTTTGTTGAACACTATACCCACCTTGTATACCTGTCAAACATAAAAACATATTAATATATGTAAAACTATTTCCCCCGAATTACTGAAATACAAAATAGACAATTTTAAATAAATGCTAGAATTACATCTTTGGCTAGGTTGTTTCTAATTCGAGGTTAAGCTACATTTCTGACTAACCTTATTCCTCTGAATATACACAGGTCTGTTAAACATAATGTCCAACAGATGTCGGTATGGCACACGACCGGTGTAGTGCGTGTACGTGAGGCGAGCGCCATCCGCGTCCAGCAAGTGCGCGTACAGCAGCTCGCAGTACCCACCAGCACCCCCAGCGCCCCCTGCACCCACCACACCCCCCACACCCGCCAAACCCCCCGCACCTACTAAGCCGGAGTTATTCCCGCCTGCCTCCTCACTAGGAGCTTGTGTTGGCACCTATAGACGAATTTCAATGATGAAAATTATACCAAACATATAAAACCTTTAAAACCAAAAAGTCCAGTAACAGATATTTTAGTATTATTTATTTGACATTAAAGTTCATATAAAACTTTGCGAACTGAAGATGGCTTATTTTCAAATTAATAAATCTTGTTTAGGCTAACCAAAACAACGCAATGGTACAAATAAAACTGCCACATTTATTTAAATCGGTTATTACGCGGTTTCAACGTTGTATTATTGGTTTTAATGGTTAATTGTAAACGTTAATACGATAAAACCGAAAATATATGTTACTAAAATACAGTCAAAACATTTAGAGCCTTTTATTTATCAAATTGTTGTTAAAAATATAAATAAAAATAATATTACCTGAACACCTAACAAACAGATGTTCTTATCAACCATAAATGTAGCGGAGCAGTCCAGTATGCTGGTGTTCATGCAGTCTGTGTGCTGTATGAGGGGGCGCTGGCAGTATATCTTGTTAAGGTCCAGTGCGGGCTCCGGCACACCCAGACCAGAGTGAGACTGGTTGTTCACCATCGATGATAGACGCATTGCTGTATACATAATCGTACTTCATACTAATAATGCGAAAATTTGGATGTATGGACATTTGTTACTAGGTATCTTTAAAATACCTTAACGGATCGACCTGATATTTGTCATAGCATAGTATGGAAGAAGACATAACCTTGCATACTAATTATTTTATTTTAATCCGCGTTAATGGAGACATGAGCAAAAGTTAGTAATGATTTTTTTTGTAGAAAACAGCAAACCAAGTGTCATAGCCCATAGACAACTGCAATAAGTCAAAAGGTTGCATGTCTATAGGATAAATTGTCTTATTTGTGTATTTATTAATCTGGTCTCGCTGATTGTAAC